TGTATGTATATGAATATATATATAAAAATCACACCTCTTGAAAAACGAGCGCTGGCGTGCACGGTGGGATACGATGAAGGTTGCGAGTCGTCCCGAGGTCTTGGCTCGAGAAAGTCCTGACGATTTTCTGATGGATTCATTTGTGCGTTTGAATTATTGACGGATAAATCTGACCTACAGGCGACCGGGAGTGAAGTCGAGGCCGCTCAAGTTTATTTATACTGAGCGAAAAATAGAAACACTTTTGTTTTTCGCTGCCAAAAGATCTGAGACTTTTTATGTGCAGGCGAAAGAGGGGGGGGGGGGGGATCTGCACGATCCTGGTTAGTTCAACTAAAATACAACACGGCCTCCGCATCATCCGGCTCAGCACTCCAGCAGGTTCTTAGGTTGACGCCTCCACAGCCACAAGGTTCTACGTCCCCAACCTTCCTCTCACTAATGACAAGGAGTAATTCTGAAGCATCAACACAAGACGAGGAACACAACATTACAAACACACATTTAGCTCGGACGCTGCAGTCGGTAATAATAACGCAGACAAACTTTTGACCTTTCAGTTTACGTTGAACTTAATTACTTGTGTTTGTGTCTCAGAGGTTCAAGTACGAAGGCTCCTCTGTGCCAAGCGTCATGGAGACAGAAGAATCTTCTTCTTTGTGAGAACTTATATATTTTCTTTGTTTAGCTTCCAGAGTTCTTTTTTTTTTTTTTCTTTTTGGAAGTCCTGGACAGATTTGGCGTGTTTACACATCATCGTGCGAAGCCGCGGTCCGACCGGACGTCTCCGCAACCTCAGGGGAGGAAAACAAGCGGTCGGCTTCCAGCATGGAGCCACTGTTTACGCTTGAAGGAAACCGCCATTTTTTTAAATGTTTGTCATTGTTTTTAATCTGCCCTGACACTCCTGCGCAGGACGTGGGCCAATCACAACATGGCGGCAGACACAGAGGGCGGGGCCTCCTAGTAATCAGTTAAATTCAGAGGAGCATAAGGGCCAGATGTCAAAACCAAAAGAAACCTGACTTCAGATAAACCGGGCTGTGTAATTTCCTCTGGGCAATAAACGCTCTTCTTCAGGTTTGAGAGTAAAAAAATATAGTTTTTATCCAAAATCCGACGAAACAGAAACACGAGAGCGGCAGGAAAAACTTCACACAGTCACAAAACCTCGTCCGTCTCTCTGATGGATCCATACATATTATAATCAAATGTGTTTGTAATGAACGGTGTGTCTTGTTTGTTTTTGTAATCTAGTTTTGTTTTAGCCCATTCACACACGTCATCAACGTCCTCATCCCCTCCCCCTTCAGCCTGGGCGACAATCTTTCTGGGAGGTTACCACGGTAACTGGCAGGGTCATGACCCCGGCGTGTGCCATACTTGACCGTCCGCTCGGCCCACGCAGCATGATGTACGAGTGTGTGTGTGTGTGTGTGTGT